GGGGGGATGGGGGGCCGGGGGGAGGCACACCGGAGCACCCCCGTCGCTCGGGCGCATGGTCCCGCCTGCCCCGTGTCGAATTGACACCGGAAGCAGTGGGGTGCTGTGCGCGCGCGCGCGCTCGCGCGAACAAACCACAGGGCGGTTTGTCCTCTCCTCCCTGGCAGGGAGTGAGCCTCCCCCCGCCCCCCCGCCCGGCCCTTGCTCCCTCCCGGCCGGGGTCGTCCCTCCGGGGCATTGTGAAAATCAGCCCGGACAAGGGTGTGACTCCCCGCCATGGGGGCCGGCCCCTGCCCGCCTCGGGGCGGTGCAGGGGGCGGAGCCGCACACGCGCCTTGCCTTGCCATATGTACGCACACATGCGCACGCAGCGGCAGCCCTGTCTAGAGGTCGCAGTCGGTCGTGCCCGCCCCCGCCCATCGGGTCCGCACCACTGCACTGCGCGGCCGCGCCCCCGCCGGCACCGACCCCGGGTCGAGTCCAACCACAGGGCGGCGATTGGGGTGGTCGCGCGTGGGACAGGGGGGGGGGGGGTCGCGAGGCCCCCTCACTCCGGCTCCCGACCCCGGAGATGCCTCGTCCGGCATCGGCCGGGGACCAATTTTCCCGGCGTCAGGCGTCCCAGCTCCTCGGGGCGGGACGGGGGGGGGGGGCACATTCACTCACACGCTGGGAGCCCCACCTTCACGGCCCGCAGGAGGAGGGCCCACCCGAACCTCACTTGCTTCCTCGCTGCCCCTTCGTGCCCAGCCCGGGCGCGTCGGTGGGGGTGTGGGCGCCCGGGAGCGGCGCGGTGCACATGCGCACGCCCCCCGAGGGAGGGGAGGGGGGCGGGGAGAAACCGCGCCCCCACTCGGGTGCGCCCCCACTTTTAACTGCCCTCCAAGCACCCCCGCCGGCGCGGTCCCGGAGGAAAGAGCTATCACAGAGCATACAGCCTCATTCGACCCACCGCACGCTCCTATAGCCCTGCCCCACTTCCCCTCCCCATTCCCCCCCCCCACCTCATCACTCAC